ACTGAACACAGTAAACTGGGATACTTTTTTCCAAAGTTGACAGCACAGCTAAAGTTTCCAAAAATCCAAAAATATATATATCTATATATAAAAAGACCAATAATGGCAGTATGTTATGCATCAATAGCAGCAACAGCTTTTCCAGGTTCTGCAGTCATTTAAACAAAATTGTAGAGACATCCAGCACTCACCATTAAAAAAAAAAAGGTAAAAAAACGGCTCAGGCTTCTTATTGGCTAGCTCTTTCTTAATTATTAACCCATTTCTATTAAACTATGTATTTCCAGGAGACTGTGGCTTACCCATAATGCTCTGGCTTGTTACTCCTTCAGCAGTGACTACATGCTGTCTCCCCTGTGACCCACTCTCTCTGATCCTGTTCTGAGCCATTGGCCAAACAGTTTAAAAATTAACATAAGTCTCTGCATGTTTCTTTGGGGCTAAACGGCTGTGGGGCCAGGTGGGACGGAACCTCCGTCTACACATGTTGGTAGCTCAAATGTGGGATGTGTGTGGTCTTCTGATAATGAAGGAAGATGCTTATGCTTAGGAATTTTATTTATATAACCATAATTATGTATATGTTGACTAGAACTGGAAGATTTTTGTTTTTAGTCTTGTTTGTTTTGTTTTGTTTTTTCTAGACAAGGTTTCTCTTAGCCTTGGCTGTCCTGGAACCTGCTCTGTAGACCAGGCTGGCCTCAAACTCCCAGAGATCTGCCTGCCTCTGCCTCCCGAATGCTGGGATTAAAAGTGTGCACCACCATCACCCAGCAAGAACTGGAAGTATTTTTAATGAGTAACAATTTTTCCTTGACAGAATTTTTGGCAGACAAACTACCATTCTTCACACTTGCATATATAGCAGATATTTTCTTTCAAATGAGTGAAGCAGGCCTTTAAGGAAAATAGCTGCTGATACTTCTCATCCATTAACAACATTCTGGAACATTCAAATCCACCATTGGAAATCTGCCAGCTTACCAGACCTGTGAGCTGAAGTTGACGATAATGAATGCAATTCCTTCTTTAAAGATTTATTTGATTATTTTAAATTATTTATATGTGGCAGGGGTATACACTCACGAGTGCAGGAGAGTAGAGACATCAGATCTCCTGGAGCTGGAGTTACTTACAGGTGGCTGTGAAACACCTGAGGTGAGTGCTGGGAACCAAACTCAGGTCCTCTGGAACATCAGGACATGCTCCTAATCATTTAACCATCATTCTAGACACACGATACTGCATTATAAATGTGTCACCATCTGGAAAGTTGGAACAACTCAATGACCCACATGACCATGGCATGGCATGACAACATCCTTGTAACTCGAATTAATAAGACACCCAGAGACAGATATTGGGGTTCAAGCTGAAGATCTGGGAGGCAAAGTAGCCAGGTACCAGCTCTCACCTCTGGCTCAGGCTGAAAGGGCTGATCCACATCTGAGCTCTTAATTAAGCCTCAAACTGCTGCCTCCTCAGTGTGGCTGGAGAATGAATGTCTATACTGAATACTTGCCCTTGTCTTCTTTACCCTCTAGTGCCGGGATTAAAGGTGTGAGCTATGATTCTCTTTTAGACTGATTCAGTCTTGTGTAGATCTGGGTGGCCTTGGACTCAAAGATCCGTCTACCTCTTAATCCTGAGTTTTAGGATTAAAGGTTGTGTACCACCACCTCCTAGCTTCTGGCTGCTGGGATTAAAGGCATGTGCCTGGCTTCTATGGCCTGTGTCTGACTTTG